ACAGACCTCTCTAGGGAATAGTTTAGTTTCCTCAGATGTATGACTACCGAATGCAACTATTGCCCTTGGGAAAACATTTAATATATTTATTGCTCTATTTGGAAAGTATCAAATGAGCACATCTGACACCTCCCTGAGGAAAACTCTTCTCCCAAACTCCACTGTGATTCTGCCAAAACTCCCCCAACCAAAAAAAAAGAAAAAAAGAAAAAAAAAAGACAAATTTGTGCAGATTAGAAAGTGCTGAGTAACACTACAGACAGGGCACGTTACTGCCAGACCTGCTGTGAGTTTAGAACCAGCCTCCAGATTCAGTGGCAAATTAATTTATAATGCTTTAAGACGAAAGAATCCAGCAGTACGATGCTTAAGGAGGGAACAGGACTCCTCCTTATGTGTATTTTTCAAGAAATACATACTGACTTTTGAAACTGGCACTGATAGGGCTGCTCTTGGAAGGGAAATTATTTCTACCTGTACAGGTGTAACCGAAGACCTAATTTTAGGTAGTTTGTAAGCACTTCTTATGGAAGATGAGCCAAAAAAGTGAAAAAAGGGCAATCCTGATGCAGTTGTAGGTGAAGACCTAATTTTAGGTAGTTTGTAAGTATTTCTTATTGAAGATGAGCCACAAAAGTAAAAAAAGGACAATCCTGATACAGTTGTAGGCCCTGTAGAGAGACTTCCAGTGTGGGCCATGAAAAGTTCTCAGTAAACTGAGAGATATTTTAATCCTAGAACATTTCTGGGACAGGACGGACTGTGGAGTAACAGAAATACATGGCTAATATTTTGGACTTTGGTATATTCACTGTTGATAGTGAGATGCCAAGTAGTGGTGACGAAGGGAAGAGATAGCTCTTACCTTTTATTTTAAATAAAACCAGCATGAGGCAACAACTGTTCTGCTGGGCCAGAATTATGGGATTATAAAGCACTATGTTGACACAATACCGTGTTCACAAAGGTGGAGTAAGGTCTTCTTACTGTGCTTAACCATAAAGGGATTTCCCAGCAAAAGGGAATCTCCAGCTTCCATCTCAGGCACAAACAACCAGCAAAAAACTCCCCTTGGCTTCATGGGTCCAGCTGACGCTGCAGAACTGTCTGCAAAGCACCGCAGTGAGGGAGAAGAAAGTTTCCTTCAGAGAGTGAAGCCTATTGGGATGACTTGCAGAAATGAGCTAATGCAATTTAATAACTCTAATGATGGATATATACGAACATAGAGGAGGGCCTGAATGATAAAGTGGTGATGGTGCTTTTGACTAACAGGAGGGATTTTCTTTCTTTGAAAGAACAAGGTTAGAAATCAGAGAAAATCTGCCTTCCTTTCCTCAGAACACAAACCAATGAAAAACTAAGGGGGACTTATCCTATAAATACTTTAAACTCATATCATTAAAAGCTGACATGTCTTTATGGAAAATAAGAACACCCTTAGAAGTCTGGGTTTTTTTTTTCTTCAATCTACATTTTTCTTATAATGCTGGTAGAAGAAGGGCAGACATAGGCTTTCTGATATAAGGAACTTTATACCACAATAAATCTTGTTGCCTAATGTTGGAAATGTCACGCTACTGCTAGCTCTGCACCTACGCGATATGGAAGCCGTACCCCTTTGGGATATTGGCACAATTAAAATAGTACAACTTTGTGCAGTTTTTGCTAATGCAATCCACTTCATAAAGGCTAAATCTAGGTAAACCAACCACTTCATCTCCATTAAGTTTTCTCCATTTCTAGTGCATCTTGTATTAACAAACATTGTTGATGTGTGGGTGTTTCAAGATGCTCAAAGACTGAGAAAGAGCTCTGTGTAACTTCAGGGAAAAGGGTAAAGAGTTTGGAAATGCAAAACAACTCACTTAGGCAGCAAAGAGTATGGGAAGACTCCTTACCACTGAGCTGGATTGCAAAAGGCTACAGCAAGTAACGTGAAATGAAAATGTGGAAAAGAACCACAAAGGAGACGTAAGAAGAAGGGTGTGGGTGTTATACACACCATGGAAGGGATCCCACCAAAGTGCAAGGTGAAGCTAACCACGCTCGCAACAACAACGAGGACCAGTACAAGAAAGAGCAAGTCCTTTTATGCAACTGAAAGAGAAATGAGGTCACTGAGTTCAATGAGTTTATCTTACTCCACCACTAGATGTTTGCACTCGTGCACTGTTTTCACTTTTATTTACATAAGAAAAGTCTACAGTAAGTTACTCTTGGCAACATGCTCACACCACAAATCTTGCCCAAGCATGTGGGAGAAAAAGATTTATTTTCAAAGCCTTCAAGTCATCAAATTCTTACGAAATCCACTCCTTTTCTGTTGAAGGAAATTACATTGGCTCAGACCTAACATGTATTATTCAGTTAATCCACCCGCGGAAATAACCATGGTTTAGACTATATCCTTTCATAGTAGGATCTTTAAGAGGAGAGAAGATAGCTGACTTAGGGAAGACTAGGAGAATGGCCAGAGAGATGAGAGCTTGCTCTCTGAGAAAAAAGAGAGACTTAGAATTAGGATGGTATTTTTATAGAAGTCAACAAAACCACAGTTCCCCAGGGAGTACTTTTGTGATTAATTTTCTCCCTCAGTGGGAAACAAGTCAAAATTATGCACCAAAATAAAATGTAACAGTCAGCCTGAAGGCCACTCAAAATATTTTCTTCTCTGTTCTGTTTTTTCTACTAGTTTGTAACAGGAGTTTTGAAATGAGCAGTCATTCTGAACTGAAAAAAAAACAACACAGAAGTTTTTCATTCAGTAAATATCCATTATAGAATATTTTGATAGCTCTGAAAGTTTTTTCCCTCAACTCATTTTCCAGCTAGAAACCTGCTGCAATCTTTCCCACTAGCACTTGTGATTTTCTTACATTTATTCAACAAAAAGCAGTTACTGAAAGAGAGCTCCCAAACCAGCTCTACTATGAAACGAAGATGAACTTCATTGGTGTAAGCTCCATCTCCATAAATAATAAAGCAGGAACCCAACCTTTTCATTCTCACAGGCAGTAGGGCTGCTATACTGTTTCCATCTATAACGGACAAAGTCAAGGCTGAGAGAGAACGGTGTTAGGATATATGTTAAGACTTGTATGGAGCGTGCCATATTTCAGCTCTTCCTAATAAGCCTAATTGCAGGAAATTAATAGGAAACTCTTAAAATATACACCGATTCTTCTGTTGGGTGTTGTCTTCTATTGCTCTTCACAGATCCACTTCGGAATGGACTTTTATAAGCTATCATGGAGCATTGGTTTTCTTGCAGCTGCAGGACTGGATTCTCTCTCAGCAACAAGGGGTTCTAACCTAAGCCAACACTGGCCCTGTGGCCCATGGATGCTTCCTCTGTTTTTCATTAAAATGGTCATTCGATAACATGAGTTATTTAAGGTCCAGGTGTTAGGAGGGGGGTGGGAGATGTGAATTTGGATGCCATCAGACAGCAGGGAAATGTACATCAGTCTCCCATATCATTAAATAAGTGTTTGAAGAACAAGACCGTCGTGTGCAACCAAGGTATTTGGCTTTTGAAACCACAGCTTGAGAAAGAAAGGTTATAAATTTTGCCTTCAGGAAATGGTTTTGATCTTTGGACTCCAAACCAGTTGGAGGCGATTCTCAGTAGCTCTGAGAAAAGGTTCAGCAGTTTTGGCTGCCTGGGACTGAATGTGCTGACCCTAGACAGCCCCTTGGTCACAGCACTGTCTAGTTGTCTTTCTGGACATCCAAACTCTCCCCAGACACTGCTCAGTGAGCTGCAGACTCTAACCCAGCTTTCCAAATTCCTTTCCAAAGCCAGACACTTTACAAGCACATCCAGGGCCTTGGACTCTCCGTACCCAGGTACTTTCTTTGGGTCTAGCGACTTCCAACTGCAGTTCACAGGAGAGCATAGCATAAAGATGAATCACAGCAAAACACCTGAAGATATTTTCAAACACCTTTCTGAATTGTACACTGCAGGCTTGTTGCCATCCCCACCTGACACTGGCAAAACAGTGCATGGCTTGGCAATCTTTGTACCTGAGGTGCATTTAAATTTTTTGAAAGCTGGCGGGTACCGGAGATGCTGATCATTCTTCAAGACAGTCTTGGCAGACCCAAGCAGGAGCTGATCATGGGGTTTCAAGGAGTCTCAACCACTGTTGCTATGGCATCTGCCAGCATGAATGCCTTCAGAGACCCTGTCCCTTCTGAGTCCCTGTGGCACTGAACATCCACCCATCCCTCCATCCATCCATCCCTCCACCCATCCTCCCATGTGTGCCCGTCCACTGCTGCCTCAGGCCTTTGGCTCACGGGCCTCAGGAGCACCCGGTGCCCAGCGCCAGGCCTCTCCCCGCAGCCAGGAAATGTTACCACGACCTACTTTGCTTCTCATTTTTTTTTTATTTTATTGTTGTTGTTTTGTAGCTGTGAGAAGCCAAATAAACTTAAGCACATGGAGGCAATTATGCAATATAAATGCCATAAACTCCTGGTTCTGTTTAGAAGCTGTCAACCAGCCCTTTGAGAAAAAAAAAATAAAAAAAAAAATATTTATTTTTGCTTAAAAAGTCCCTCCGCAATGATTTGAACTCGAAGGCCTCTTCCACCTCCCTTCCCGAAAGGCGGCTGCCGAGGGCTGGAGTCCCTGGCCCCGGGCCTCAGGGTGGGCCCGGCCCGGCCGCCCCCCGCTGCCCGCTCCGGGGCCGTCCCCCCTCAGGAGCCGCCCCGTACCCCCGCTCTGCTGCTGCCGCGCCGGGCCGGGCCCAGCCGCGTTCCCCCGGGGCCTGAGGCAGCGGCACCGGCACCGAGAGGGCGCGAAGCCGAAGCCCCGAAGCCGAAGCCGCGGAGCCGAAGCCGAAGCCGGAGCCGAAGTCCCGAAGTCCCGAGGCCCCGGCGCCCCCCGGCGGCCGCACCGTCGGGCCGCAGCCTCAGCCCTCCCCTTCGGCCGGCGGCGGGGCGGAGACGGGTCTCTTCCCCTTTAAGCGGGACGTACCAAGGGCTGAGGGGGTAGTGCGGGGGTTCCTGTGTACTCTGTGGCTCCTTTCGGGCAGCCCGCCGGCCTGAGGGCGGTGTGAAGCTTGGGAAGCCCCGAGCTCTGAACGGTCGTCGACTCCGGGCTCTTTCCCCTCGTTTTCCTCTGCCGCCAGCTCCCCCTCTGTGGGGAGGGCGGATAGTTCAGCCCCACCAACATGGCCGCCACCATGAAGAAAGCGGTGAGTGTGGCAGGAGCGCACGGTGGGGTGTTTTACCCCTTCCCGGCCTCTCCCTCCGCTCTGGGCTCCCCGCGGGGAAGGCGCAGCTCCTCCGCCGCTTTCCTGGGCGGGCGGGCCGGGCCCCTTGGCCGTTGGGGGCCGCCGTCTGTCGGTGCTGAGGCGGCGCGGCCATGTTCGCCTCAGCGCTGCCTCCCGCCACCTGAGGTGCCTCCCTGAGCGCCCGCCCTCGATTCACACAGTCCCCCGGGCGGCAGCCCTGTGCGGGGCCGGAGGAGGAGGGTCCCCTTCCCTAGGCCCCCATTTCCTTAGGCCGCTGCCGGGTCGGGCCGGCTCCGGGTTAGGCCCGGCCGAAAATACCCCCTCACGTTTCTCGGTGGATTAAGGTGTTGGCGTTGTTATCTTGGCTCTATCGTAATCGCTTATCAAACGTGCAAGTGCGGGTTTGGTACGCTGCCATGACGTGTTCGTCTCAGTGGCCAGTCCGGCCCAAAACACAACAGCTGTAAACCGTCAAAAGCTCTTTGTGGCCACACAAACTGGCTGTAAATGGAGGACACCCAACCCCTGTCCACCTCCCCAGGCCGCTCAGGGACATTCCGACGTGGTTCAGTGAGTTTAAAATCTGTAGCACAGCACAACTAGCCAATTACTACAAAATGATGTTGCTGACAGATTACACCAACCTGTTAGGCTGTATCCTCCAGTGGTCTTGAAGCAGAGGTGTCTATTTCAATGGTGCTGTGAAGGAAACAATCTTTGGCACTGGGATGCTGTGGAGAGCTGGTGTTTTAATTGGGTGTTAACGAGAGCCTCTGCCCAGCTAAATGTGGGTATTGCTGATGTCCTTGAGGAGGTGTTGTAAGGAATCAAGTGTATAAGCAGAATGTAATCGCTGTAAGACTGTTTTTCAGGCACTTTGTAGGAGTAATCTTATAGTGAGATTCAAGTTGATGTAAGAAACAAAGTCTTCATTTTTACCTCTTCTTGCAGGCTGCAGAAGATGTCAATGTAACTTTTGAAGATCAACAGAAAATTAACAAGTTTGCAAGAAATACTAGCAGGATCACAGAGCTGAAAGAAGAAATAGAAGTAAAAAAGGTATACTTGTTTCAAATACCACTTACTCTTCATTGCCCTGAATTAATTTTCAACTGTAACACAGGAAATAGGGGCTATGCAATACTGTATACTTCGGTTCTAATACGGGATTTCTGATTCTTTGAAAGTAGCCAGAGAACATTAAAGTGTAGAAAGAACTCATGAGAAATAAAAGTCACCAGTATGTTTCTGCATGCAGTTCTTAGAACTACGTAGTTGTCCTATATGAAGCATTGTCTATATATAAGGGCTGTTTGAGTGTTCTTAAAATTTTCTGCCTGAGATGGTTCATATTTATTTTTTCTTGAACCAGTAAGGTAGTTGTTTGTGGACTCACAGAGTTCATTATTCAACTGAAAGCAAGACAATATATCCATTGAAATAATTTACCCAGTACAAATTGACCACCTTTGTTATGTCTTGATAAATAGAAACAACTTCAGAATTTGGAAGATGCTTGTGATGACATTATGATGCTTGATGATGGTGACTCACTTCTGATACCCTACCAAATTGGAGATGTCTTCATTAGTCATTCCCAAGAAGAGACGCAAGAGATGCTGGAGGAGGCAAAGGTTTGTGTGGACAAAAGGGAGCTCCTTTACTGTAGTGGCTGTTGTAGTGTGATGAGCATTGGGATCAGTTAATTTTTCTCTCCTTTGAACCTTTTACTTTCTAAAGTTCATGTTTGATTTATGGTTTGAGGAGGGGGATGTGCAGGCACAGTAATTCCTAACTGGGATGTCAGTGTACAAAGTCATGCTGGCCTTTGTGTGGCCCCATAGTAAGTCTTACAGCCTGACATGGCAAAAAGTTGGCAGAGGTACCTCTTTATTGTTTATGTATTGCTGACAAGCATAACCCAGTTTGTTTTACATAACTAGTTTTTTTTTTTCTTTTTCAGAAAAGTTTACAAGAAGAAATTGAAGCGTTAGAATCCCGAGTGGAATCAATTCAGAGGGTGTTATCTGACCTGAAAGTTCAGCTCTATGCAAAGTTTGGAAATAACATAAATCTTGAGGCTGAGGACAGTTAAAGGTGTTCTAAATATACCATACAACTTTTCCTTGACTTATTAAATGTTTTGATAACATTGTTCCCATCACATTTTAAAAAAAATTACCACTTTTTTTTTTTTTTTTTTTACTTTCCTGTCTTGGGTTCCATCTATTTAATGAGAACTTTCTTATTTTGGTTATTGCAATTATTTATTTGTTCAGGAAAGCATTAGCTTCATAATGTTGGTAAAGCATCAAGATTGGAATATTTGCATTGTTTATTAAAGTAAGAAAGTCAGGCACATATTTGTAGTTTCCTTGGTCTTGTTTTCCACTCATTAAAATACTTAAGTATTTAAACAATAGAAATGGAGAATTTTTGATTTGCACTGTAATGGCTGTTCTTGATAAAAGTTTCTCTAACTCATAGGGCATGATTTAGCTGTAATGCTATTTTTAGCTACTTTTAGCAGCCCTCCTGGAAATACTGAATCTATCCTTTGTCTTTCACTCTTAGCTCAGATAGCATAAACACTGTTAGCTCAGTGAGCAACGTGGCAAGAAGTTGACAGGGGAGAAGGGGAAGGAGGGCTCTGTAAAGCTCACGTTGGTATTGAAGAAAAGCTTTTGGAGTCATAGTCAGTAATTTACAGCTTTGTATTTGGGAATCACAAAAGATGCTGTAAGTGAGAACGGTGAGTCTTAACTTCTAATTTTCCTGAACAATCATTTTCTAAATCCAGATACATACGTCAAGTTAATATAAGAATTGTTTATATGTGATGTTGCAATGTCAGCATCAATCCCTGGAACTATGCCTCCATCACTATGGGGAGTTGAATGTAATTTGTAAATGTCTTAATTTGCTGACTCCTTACATCCTTAATTTGCTGTACATCCTATATCCTATAAATCTGCTTTTGTACTTTTGCCTGCTTTGATTAATGTATTGTTCCATGGAAATACATGCTCACTATGACTTTGTTTTTAAAAAATTAAGCATACGTAAATCATCTTTTTAAGCTATTTTCCAAAACAGTGCGGACAGAGAATTCGTTTGGCCAAATGTTAATCTACAGTCATTGTTCTTAATATAAATAATCAGAGTAGGAGATGAGTGTATTTTTATAAAGTGATTAATACCTACCTATCATGTGTCAGTTGTGTAGCACCTCTTCTTCAAACAGTGGGAATGTGGAGGAAAAAAAAACCCACTTGGTTTCTCTGTTACTGAAGTAGTTTAACAAGGCAGTGATATTGAACTTCATCTTTGGTACACCTGAGCAGGAGCTCACCCGTGCATTGTTATTTATGAATTGCAGCATTGTAACTTACGTAGTTGTTTATATAAGTTTATTAATATTGTATATGAAGTTTAGCATAGCCTTAAGAGAAGACTGTCTTTGGCAGTGAAGATCTAATACCTCAACACAAGCACTTACATTACCTACAGTGTAGAACAGCTGATGGCTGCAAGTCTCAAAAGCTGTGTGAATGTCCTCTCTAGCCCTGGCATTTCCCAGGTTTCTTTTCTGTAGAATTCCAATGGATTGTATGCTTCTGCTGCTGGACATGTGTGCAAATACCATGGCTGTACCTGGACAGATTTTAAACTTTGCTTTCTAACTGGTTGTGGGTTTAATTCAAGTCTTTGTCTTGGATAAGAGTTCAAGTTTATCCTTACTTTCTGAGTGAATGCTTCAGCTACTCTTAAGTAAAATATGGATGTGGTAGCCCATGGCAACTCTGCTGCTCTATCTGCCAGTCTGTGCTTGTAGCAAATCAAGTGTGTTGGGCATTCAAGGAGATACAGGTGTTCCTCTATATAATTTCTGAACCCTCTGTTCAGTTTTCTGTGCTAGGTAAGTGTTTGGCACCAAACTACTTAGAGCAGTTCTGGATTGACAAATTATTGTTGTTTTAGGCACTAAAGGGAGAAGCTGGTGGCCAGTTATTTGAGAGCAAGTGATATGAGGGTTGTGAACTTAGGTGACTCAGTTTTGCCTTATCTTGCTTTATTAGATACAGCTCTTGGGCTAAAACTCTCTTTTGGGACAGTGCAGTTTGAGAGCTAAATAATGCAAAGCTGCAGATTTAGGAGGTGCCGGTATTTTTCTGAACAGCCAAAAAATTCATTTGGTATGGGAAAATAAACCATCCAATGCACTTGTCTTTATAATTATAAACAAAAAAATGAAATGTAAAAGACTTTTTCCAGGTGAAAAATGAGCTAATGATGGAGTTTCACCCGCTTGTCTTTAAATTATAAAAAAAAAAATAAAAATGTGAAAGACTTCTTTTTCAGATGAAAAATGAGCTAATGATGGAGTTTCACCCACAGTGAGAAGCACCCAGCAGATGGCATCAAAGAGCTGGGAACCCTGTTTTATGATACGCCCGTGCCAGGGCTGTGAGCACCAGCGCTGATTTTAGTGAAGTGAAGCTGTGCTGCAGCGATCACGTTCTCATTAAATGGTTGGTAACACTTTAAAAGTCACTCCGAAGTGACTGCTGTGCCAGCTTTGCTGTTCTGAGCATATTCACAGCTGTGCAGACTGCAGGTATTTAAAACGATTGTGATTTGCCGATAGGCCATAGTACAGATAGGACTTCATTATGGAAAAAAAAAAGAGCAAGTAAGGTTTAACTGTGATTCCAGCGGCAGCTGTAAAGCTGATGAGTACCTTGGTTCAGTAAAGGACCAAAGGGAGAACGCTTGCAAGGTGTGGAGAGCTTGCATTATCCCTGCTCTTCTTTGGTGTCCTAGAATTGGAACTGTCCATATATACAGCCCTGGTGTTTAGGGAAAAGAAGGCTGTTAGAGTGTTCTTGTGAATGCCAAAGGTCTTTCCTCTGGTCATTTTGGGTTTGCTTTGTGACCCCATCCCCTTATTTTCTTTCTTTTTTTTTCTGTTTATCATGGTGTTGGCATATTTCAGGCCATTTCAGTAGGTCTTCCTGCACTACTGGAGTTTAGGTTTTTATATGTAGGATGCATCTTTCCTGTTTGCTTTGTCCTTACTACAAAGTGTATGTCTGTGCAGCCTTGAAAATCTAGGTGCCTTTTTGCACATGTAATGTCCAGTTTCCTTGCATGGTTTGCACAATTGTGTTTGCAAGTCAGGCAAGTAATTATCCAACAAGCTTTTTCAGACTAGTCTCTGGATTTTTGTGGTTTACAGAATTACTGGCCCAGGCTATCATTTGATATTTTTTTAATGCGTAAAATAGAACATGCAGCAAACTTTTTGTTCTTAAAGTTGTCGTTGTAGAAGTTGATTTGCCGATCATCCATTGGTTTCTGGAATGTGTTTTAGAGTCCTTTATTTTCCTTTTAATAACCTTTGTCCTCCCTAGTGAATATATGCAATTGTTTTTCAGTTGGCATTTATTCTGTTTAGCACCTCATCTTTTAAGTACTTCCTATTTTTGGTAGATTGGAAATTTCTGTTACCTTTAATAATGTTTACCTTACAGTTATATTCTTCAGATAAGTCCATGAAAAAAAACCCTGATCCTCTGTGCACCTCTGTATGTGGCATGAATCATTTAGCTGCACTTGGCAATGCACAGTTTTAATATCGTCAAAATGCAGAAAGTTTACTGTCCTTCTCTGTATTGTCAAGGGAGTGACGTTTGTAAAGCACTTCAAAGATGAAATGCACCATAAAAGTGCTAATTGTTATTTCAATTTAACAGCTTAATTTAGAGCATTGGCCCAATGATCTCTTACTATCTCTTAGTGATTGCATTATCTATTCATCTCCATCTTTGTATTAAAACACAGTTTCTATACTGTGTTTGTTTTGCAACTCGTAGAGCCACCAGTGGCTGGCTTTTCACCTTTTCACTTGGTTGCAGCAATTAAAGCAGATAAACAAGGAAAGCTGCAGCCTGTGAAACAGAGCTTATTTCAGTGCATGATGTCAAGGAGACTTAACATACCAGTTTTTTCAAGTACCCCGCTAAAAACTCTGTAAGACATAGTAGGACACAATCATTATACTTACTATATTTTCAGGGGTTGGTTTGTGATTCTGTATCTTGTCAGCTGATTTAAAAATGTTTTCCACATGATTATCTCTAGCATAACCTTCTCCAGTCGAACCTTCATTATTGCTCATTGCTTTTGTATAGAAGATCCTTGGATCCCATTGCACTCCATAATATAAATGTGGCTGATAATTATTCAATAATTTTAGGAAGTGGTGTGTAGCCAAAGTACAGATAATTTCGTGGTATTAACTATCACTTCAAAGAGGAAAAAGAGATTGAATGCTGAATACTGAAGCCATATTTTCTGTAGGAGCAACAGAATTAAGTAGTTTGGTTTGCATGAGTCAGTGGTTCAGATAAATTATCTAATGTTGTTCTAATAGTCTGATTCATGAAAGAGAAAAAAATGTGGATGTATATAGGCATGATAAGACAGAAATTATTTGCAACCAAGTTTGCCCTTATATTGATTGTATGAGTCATACAGAAAACCAAATTATTTTGTAATTAAACGTTAGCTTCTGATCAGACTGCACAGAACGCAGTGCACCAACCACAGGCATAAATGGCTAGGAAGGATTCCGTCAGCAAGAGCTGAAACAGTTTTACAGTTAAGGGGGTCTGCATCCAGCTTTTAGAGATGTAATAAAACAATTATAAACCTGGGTAGAACATTAGCCATTTGCTGCAGACTTATAAAAATCTTTTCTTTGCTGTTGCTCTCCAGAGCTGGTTAGTATACTGTGACTTTGATATCAGTTTATAAGTTGCTGTTACATCACATATGCAGACAAATACAAATATTAGAGAATTACGATTTTTTTTTTAATTATAAATTTATGAACTGCAGGTATCATTAGGTGGCCTTCTGTACTTGTACCAGAAAACCCCTCACTTGGGGACACTGGGTGGTGGGGTGCAGGGTTATAATGTAAATTCATCAAAGAATTGCTTCGAGATAACCAGTGGTCCAGTCTGATGTTACCTGGTACAGGGGAGAGGAGAAACAAGATGTACTTGTTGAAATATGGGCTTGTCCAGTACTGCACTTGGCCATTTCCTTAAGCTACTGTGAAAATTTCCTGTTTTCTTTGTCAACACAGCCCAGCACAAGGGAGGAAAAAGATTGTTTAGTGGATTTTTAGATTCTGTCAAGCTTTACCCCTTCCAGCACAGTATGGAAGTCCATCATATTGTTATGTTTGGATGCTTTTGTTGTCTTGTTAACTGTAGCTAATAGAATTGTGCACACCAGACTTCTAGTGCTCTGGTGAAACTTCTTTTTAATTATATTTAGAGTTGGAATTTCTACTGTCTTTTAGTTATCTGGATAGAAATGTGAATTAAACCAGACTCATTGGTGAGGGGTAGTCATTGGAACAACAACCACCTATAACACACAAGTATAAAAGCTGACTGCCTTTGGGTACACAACAGCAGTAAATCAGCTCAGATAAAAATTATTAATCTCAACACACATGGCTAAGGACTGATGGTAACTCTACACCCAAGACTGGTTTTTATTAACACTTCAGGGGAAAATAATAAAACTTTCAGTTTCATTTCTGTTGTGAAAACTCTTTCTTCCCCCGTTGCTTAATATTGCTATTAAAAGTTCATCCATAAAAGCTTTAGTTTGCTTTTGAAAATGTCTCCCAGCACCAGTTAAATGTGACTATGCTCTCACACAGCCTCTGAGGAAGTTTTTAAACTTAAGACTTGTCTCTGCTTCGTAGGGGTTAGAGAAGTGTTCATGTGTTTTTCATGTATGTGCTGCCTAAGACAAAGGCATTATGATAATTTATGCTCTTGAAAGAGGAAGAGCAATGGATGTGTTTGACGTGTTCAGGGCAGCATTTATAGCGGTTGACTTTTGAAGAGGGAAACAAGGATAATGTCAGCCACAGATGGAAATCCTGGCAGCTCTTGTCCTGCTTATGCAGATAGCTGTGTTAAACCTCCCGTAAAAATGTGCCCTAACCATTTTACATTTACTTTA